GTCGCTGGTTCAGATCCTCGAGCCGACTAGATGAAACATTTGTCAATGTGCCATTGAGCAAGGCACTTAACCCCAATTGCTCCTGTAAGTCGCTCTGGATAAGAGCATCTGCTAAAATATAAAGAAATATGTGGTCAAACAGCTCCATATTTTTATTTTATTTAACTAGGCAAGTCAGTTAAGAACAAATTCTTATTTACAATGACGGCCTACACCGGCCAAACCCGGACGACGCTGTGCCAATTGTGCGCCGTCCTATGGGACTACCAATCACAGCCGGTTGTGATACAGCCTGGAATCGAACCAGGGGGTCTGTAGTGACGCCTCGAGCACTGAGATGCAGTGCCTTAGACCGCTGCGCCACTCTTACACCACTCTTACACTTACGATGTGTGTTAAGGTGACCTGTGTTACAAATAGGCTACTACTGTACATCCATAAGGTAGAATTGAACATGCTTTTCATCCAATCTGAGGCTATTCTGACATGTTGTCTGACATATTAGACCTAGTGTGTAGATGATGTCAAATTTCATGCAAATTGGTTCAGTGGTTGATTCCATAGCCATTGATACAGGTGCTTCTTCACACAGGCAAGTAGATGTGAATCTACAGTACTGATGCTGGAGTGCCTTATCAGTGTACAGCTGCTGGAACATCCAGGAGGGTCAATATCTCCTATGGTTTTACTTGAAACTATATTTCGCTCTCAGACATTGTGATCAAGCTTTGTTGGAAACCATTTCATCCATTTCATCCTGTAGCGCTGCAATGCAGTGCAGATGATGTGTATGTTTTCTGTGTACAGAGATACAGTAGGCTCACTGAATTAAATGTTAATCTGAATTTATTTTTTTACAGTGTGGGGTAGATCTACTAAACCATTCTAGTACCGTAGGCATGTGCAGATACTGTACGAATTGTACTGCCACTGTATGTAGGCCTATGGATCATTGACATGCAGGAAACGGCAATATATATAAAGTAACAGTAGATGCTGCATTTGATCAGGTTAGATACTGGTTAAATGGTGATGATTCACTAATGAAACAACTAATGAAGCAACATCATCAGACCGTCTCTAAATAGAGAACAAGCTAATGATAATAATACAATCTAAATCAGCAGAAAATTGAATTCAAATATTTAACGAGCACCAAGATCAGATTGAACTAGTGATTTAGCCCTGTGACACTACAAGACTTCCCCAGAAAGTTTTAATGAGGGAACAATATAATGTAATGAGCCATTAACTCACAATTATGGGCTTCTCAACTAACTGCCAGCTCTTTTTTTAGCATGTTTCTCCCCTCCTGATTACAGTGCAGTGATTAATGGTGTGTTATACCGTGTGATGCCCCCAGTTCACAACACAAAGAACAAAAGGTCCTGGACCAGGGATCATCAACAAGATTCAGCTTGAGCGGATAATTTGTAGACTGCAAATTCACCGCAAGAAGCCCAAACAAGCCCCCTTTTGCCCTCAGAACATGGACTCTTCAAGGTGTCGAAAGTGTTCCACAGGGATGCTAGCCCATGTTGACTCCAACGCTTCCCACTGTTGTTTCAAGTTGGCTGGGTGTCCTTTGGGTGGTGGACCATTCTTGATACACACAGGAAACTGTTGAGCGTGAAAAACCCAGCAGCGTTGCAGTTCGTGACACAAACCAGTGTGCCTGGCACCTACTACCACCATACCCCGTTCAAAGGCACTTAAATCTTTTGCCTTGCCAATTCACCCTCTGAATGGCACACATACACAATCCATATCTCAATTGTCTCAAGGCTTAAAAATCCTTCTTTAACCTGTCTCCTCCCCTTCATCTACACTGATTGAAAGAGATTTAACAAGTGACATCAATAAGGGATAATAGCTTTCACCTGGATTCACCTGGTCAGTGTCAGGGAAAATGTTTTGTATACTCTCTATTATAGTCCCGTGTAGCTCAGTTGGTAGAGCATGGCGTTTGCAACGCCAGGGTTGTGGGTTTCCCCCGGGGGACCAGTATGAAAAAAAAGGATGTATGCACTCACTAACTGTAAGTCGCTCTGGATAAGAGCGTCTGCTAAATGACTAAAAATGTTTTTTAAAAATAATAATGTGTGGGAATACTTTCTCTATTATGTGTGGGAATACTTTGGAACAGATTTTCTAAATTAAAATCACTTGAATTTGCTGGTGTTTTTACAGTCCATTATGTCCAACAATAAAAATTAATAATCAGTAGCCAGTTGGGGAACCCTGTCCTAGACATTTGATGCATATGGAAATGTTGTTTCTTTAGTTTGAAGAGTAAAAACTCTTTCACACACAGAAAAGATCCGAAAGAAAGGAAAAGAGGGAAACAGAGAGATAAAATCTAAAACACCGCCATTTGAGGCCCAGTTGGTTTCAGACCTAAAATTGCATCATGTCTCAGAACCTTTTGTCTTTCTTTTAAAAACCATAAAAATGCCTCAGGATGTTTCCTGTGTTTGGTATCGAGTGAAAATGGGCTGGGGTTTCTCCGACAGCGCCTTGCCTGGAAAGGTCAGCTCTGTGGGGGAAATGAAAGTGAGAACAAATGTGGCATTTATTATGATCAATACCCCACTCTGGGCCAACAGGAAGAGTCTCACAGCACAGCAGGCCATGTGAAAAGAAGACCATTGAGACACTGTGTATATGTACTCAACACCAAACATACATTCATGTACTGGTACTCACCTGTGGGGAAATCAGAGGAGGGTAAATAGTAGAAAAGGTGAAGAAAAAGTTTTACTCCAATGTAGTAATGAGGTGGGATCCACTTGATACCTCCAATTTCAGATACTTCATCAGGCCTTTTGTGAAGATTCTAAAAGGCAATCTTAAAACAATTACCCTTCTTCAGTTCACTAATTTAATGACGCTATAAACTATAGAGATACACACAAGGGGAGAGTCTCTTTCTCTCTCTCCATCTCCCCAGACTATTTTCACTCTTAGGCTCATCATCCTATTCTCCCCAGACCAAGCAAAGCGCTGAGTAAAGGGAAAGAGAATCCAAACAATCCCTGGCATGTGGTTACAAAAGTTTTTAATTTATTGAGAGCACTGTTACTAAACAAAGTTTTATTTCCCCTCCTATTGAAACCCAAGTCACATCTTGGATTAGTATTTTTCTAAAAGCTATCTCTTGAGACAGATGTGAACACAAAGACATAAGGTAGCTTTTCTCTTGCATTTTTTGAAGGAAATTAAACAAAGTAGTGGCAGACCCAAAATAGTATTTTAAAAGACAATATAAATTGAATCTCACTATAAATGCACAACATGAATTGGAGTGAAAATAGATCAAACAAAACTGGCTGAACCAATAGTCAACTGAATGGAACACCATTTCAACATCATCAGGGTGTCTGAACATATAGTTCATATCATACAAATGTGGATATTATTTGTTTTTTAAAACAAATTGATTAAGGTACAAAAACCTTTTAAGTTGTGTGACACTCCCTTTTATTGTGCTATGCCAAAGATGATGACAAATAGGGAGAAAATGTATAGAATACAATTACTCTCTTGAGTCATACAGCAACATATTGGGTGATGGATAGTAACAGATACAATGGATGGCTGCTCAATGGACTATGAGATGCTTTCCCTTACAGTAGAATACCATGTTACAGTACATACAGTATAAGATACAGTGTGTATTTTGAGTCCATTTTAAGTGTTCTTGTGCTTAGGAATAAGGGAATCTTTAGAACAAATCCATTCAAACTCACCTTGGATGTACTGTGGATCCAAAAAGTTGCAGCTGTGTAAAATTGTATTTTATCATATGCCTTATTTCAAAATCACCATCCACAAATCCATTTAGTAGGTTTAAAAGACTGAAATATCAGTGGATTTGTAGAGTTAAATCAAATGGCTCACCCTAATTTGTGGGCTAATTCTGCCATCCTCTCATTTCCAACTCTAAAGCCACTATATTAATCATCTCATTAATGTCAAAGATGTTAAACCACTAGATGTTGTACTGCCATCTACTTACCAGCTAATTGGTAGTGGAACATTTCCATCTCTTTATCAATGGCTTATACTTCAACCCTGACGTATTAATGGCAACATGCATCATGAAATAGAACAGATTATAATTGCTACCTGCTATCTGTACTCTATTTAATCCTTTCACCTTAGTTTGAAATCTAGTTGGAGTCTTGTCATACGTCACTGTACTTAAAGGACATCACTGTGGTATCAAATGACAGGTCAATAGATTGCCTACAAACAGGTGGTTTAAGACACGTATGAACAACATAGAGAAAATGGTTGGGAAATATGTCATGGCTGCACAAAAACTTCTCTCTAAATAGTCATTTCAAAATGTTACATATTTTTTTTCTCCATGTCAGATGATGAGCAAATTAGAGAGGAAATCTGTAAGTAGGAGGCATTCTATTTCAATGGAGTGACATTAACAGAATGACAAAATAAATCATCCAGTCCTGTAATGTGTCCTTCCAGTGCAAACATACAAAACTTTTATTCAGCATACTGTATGCATCTATAGATAGTGTACTAAGTGGGTGTGAGTCTAATGTTTGGAATTGGAAATGCTTGTGTCTCAAGGAACAAAACCACTGTTCATTATAAGGCAGACGACATAGCTGTTCATGACTGTTATTGACATATCAAAGCAGACAGGACAAACTGAATTGGCATAGTGCAATAAGTGTCACTATTCTTGGGTTGGGGAAGAGCTTCTCTTTTTAGATACACCAAAAATTATGCCTCCGATCAAAGTCCAAGACAGCCTCTTTATTGCAGCAGAAGAGATCCAAATAAATCTCTTTCGACAAGTGATTCTGTTTGTTCTTTCTACGTTCAGGAGTCCAGCATGAGCAGTCAGTGAATCCTTTTGGCAGTAGTTCAGTGGCGGGTGAGCGAAATGCCGCAGTGCAACACTTTTCCCCCCTTCTCTTCCTCTCTTTTCCTTTCCTCATTTTTGTGGGGTCTGGGGAAGGGCTGCCCGATCACATGCCTGTGGTGCTCAGGCCCATGCCTGCGGCCTGGCTCATGCAGGGGAGAGTCTGTGCAGCTTTGGGGAAGTCATGGGCGACCACCCGTCCGTTCTCTCCCCCACTCCCTGTCCTGGTCATCCTGCTCAGGGTGGAGCTCAGCATGGCCGCATCAATGATTTGCTGCATGGGAGAGTTTCATTACACTACTGTGTTACATAACAACAACACAGAGAAACACATGATAGTTACGCATGAACTCTGCTGATCTCTACTAAGGTAATCTATTGAAATATTGAACTCTACTGAGTTAATCTACTGAAGCCAACTGGGTTAATTTTACTTTACTGAGTTCAATTTAGGATGGACATATCCCTCGGTAATGCGTTAAAATAAACGAATTACTTGAAACAGCCACTAAGTCATCATTATTGGTTCAGTGACTTTGTATAAAGCAGGGATTTGCAAACAGACAATCCTGACTTCTGTACTATGAGTCACTCAGTTGCTTTATTCCATCATAAACTCTTGTGAAAGATCAGAGAATGAACTCATTCTCTCTGCTTATTTCTCTCTGTTTATTTCACACAGTGGAGAGCCATGTGCAATAATTGTACCATACAAAATATGAGGCCGAACCCATAACAATAACGCAAGCAGAACCGTGCGGCACTAGCTCCCAGCCTACTCTCTTTTGCATTAGTTTAACATAATGAAACCCTGTAGGCTTGAAACTGGAGCTAATGATCTGGATGTGGGCTTGTACATCCTCGGTGTATAAATGATTTAAATCCAGCACACTTCAATGGATTCCGAGGATTATGCTCTTCGGCTGATGCAGACTAATTGGTATATTCGCAGCAGCGATTTGTGGCTGTGATACTTTAAACACAGCAGTTATGTGATTCTGCTGTCTACTCGACATGACAAGTAAACATTTTCAACAGAATGGCTGTTTATGCTGGAGAGTTGAACATGTACTGTAAAGCAGACATGTATCATATACACATTAAAATATAATAATGTCATTAAATCACTTTTGTTGCTCATATGCAAAGAAAGACCCTGGTTTCATGTCTTCTTAACTGATGTAATAAACAACACATCTGTTGTAATTACTTAATCTTACTGTCTGCTGCATTTGGATGTTCGTTTTTTTATTTTATAAATGCATTCAAAACCAAAACGTGCACCCCTTGGAGTCCAGAGGACCGCGTTTGGGAAACGCTGCACTAATTGTAAGTAGCTCTGGATAAGAGGCTCTGCTAAATGACTACAATGTAAAAATTTGAATAAATACAAATATTAAGCATTAAGTCCATGAGGTTAATGAGAAGTTGCTCATCAAAGTTATATACAAGTCTGAACTAATTCTCTGCTAAGATGAAAAGACAGCCACATCTTTGATCTAAATAGGAGCTTCTACTGTAGCATGATCAAATGCATCTGCCAGTTAATATGTGATTATTTTCAAGGGTCATCAGAGATGGCGATTACAAACATAACACAAACGTCTCTATTTCCAGAAGATACAGTACAACACAGGAGAGAATAAGTATTGTACAACTAAGAAGTGGTGTGACATATTCTCCACCTACACACAAACTCTTCAGCACAATTACTCAAATCATAGTCATCTAGTAGCTGTAGCACTGCATGGAACCCTTCATTAAAACAGCTCTATGCCTGACAAAGTGCTTTATTCTTCATTCCTGTAGTTCAGGGAGATGTACAGTATCTCTGTATGAGTCATAGTGGCGGCATGAGTAGATAATGATCGGTGCCAGGTTAGAGTCATGGATATTGGCTCTTATTACATTACAGAGCCTTCGTCATTGCATAAAGGTTATGGCAAGCGCTGCCTGTAGTCCTGCACTTAGCTTACCTTCATCCTCCTGGACTCAATCCTGGACTTGTAACAGAACTCGACCAAGGCCACGAGCATAGCCAGCCCCAGCCCTCCAATTAAGATGTAGAACACCCCAGCCACATTGCTGAGGCTCAGAGCACTGGTCTTGTCCTACAGGCACAGAGACACAGGGTGAGATGCACCAAATCATGCCCAAGAAAAACACTACAGCACACCATAGTACACTAATATAAAGGTAGGATAACCATATAACTGTTCTCTAAGGCTACTACACTGTCATGGTGACCTTATAAGGCATATACCCTTAAGTGTGCCTTCATTAATCAACAGGTTATTGTTTATCACCTATAAAGGTGCTGGCATGTCTTTGTAATTTAACTGACTACTATCAACAACAAACTTGATACAGTATATTTCTAAGGGCTGACAGAAACATGCAGAGTCATGCACATCTAACAAGCTTGGGGTGAACATGTCCTCAGAAAGTAGAGGATTAATGTGCATTTATGGTATACTGTATCTTTTATATGACATAATGTCCAGTCAATCAAAATAACATTTGCATTAAAAACCATTAATTCCATTCTATATCTCCTCGCTTATTTATTTATCTTTTACTTAACCAGGAAGTTCCAGAATTATATGTAGCTGGTGTTGTGTATTCTAAATAATTCCAAGACTTGTTCTAATAGAGTGGAACCATGCAAGAGGAAAAAAGGTCAACTTTGTTTTAGGTTTACTTCATAGGTAGGGGTATCTCTATAAAATATCATTACATTTTCAAATAAATGCACTAAATAAGGGAGGGCAATTTGTTCGACAAGCCATGGTAGTCATTACATCACAAGAGGGTTTGTGCACATCCGTGACATGCATTGTCTGGGTTTGGTGGCCGACAGGCCGTGTCTTGGATCTCATCCAATAGCATGCACACTGTCTAAATAAAAGACAGAGACGAGGAAAACAGCACTAGAGGGGCCGATTCTGGGAGAGAAGATCCAGATATGGAGGAGGTCTTGTATCAAGGGCTTTCTCTCCGCACCGTCATTTACACTTGTGTCTCTTTATTTTATTTTGAAAGTTAAGATCACAAATCAATCAAAATTCTATTCATTCAGCAAACTGTGAATACTTTGTCTGTTGATGACTCAAGAATATCCCAGACATTGGAAAATATGGTATTGGCGCTGACAGCAATTTTATGGTTTTTAGCTTTGTTTTTCATATACTATTCAACGTCTATTGCTATCATTGCAATTGGCTGCATCAGCATTAGCTACTCAGATTTCGGAGAAGAGAATCCAACCCTAGGTATACATTTTGGTTTGATGAAACAAGCATTTACCAAGATCTAATTACAGGCCGTTGACTTATCCATAGGATGCGAGGACACAGCAATTAACACTAATCACTAAGGTGTCTGAGTTCCAGAGCTGACATGAATCGCTGTTATAAGGACACCAGTTTGGGTAAATGGCAGATTGGAGACAAAGAGAAAAGGTGCTGAGTGCTAGGGAGCGACCTTACAGAAGTGCTAATGCTCAATCTTGGTGTTAAGTATAGGACCAACACATGGACTGACCTTTCTTCCGGAGTCCTTGCTTCCACACTCTCCCTTATCGTACCACCATTTGTTCTTTAGTTTGTCTAAGACGGCTTGCTCATTGAGTTTCAACACCGCTAGGTTTACGGGGATTCTTCAACCAGGGAAATAACATAAATAACATTACCCATGTTATCTTATGTTATTCAGCACATAGTAAACATACACCCATGATTATGAATAGATATCTAGATAGATAAACAAAAAAACACAATCACAACTTGAAACTGTCACTGCCAAAGTGATATGCATTAATACTCCATCTAGCTTTGTGTCCTTTCTCCCTACTGCAAGATGTGTATTACTATATCACTTTGGGTAACCGGCAAAATGTAAACACTCAGATATGCAAACCTGTCAATTATTGTTGCTCTATAAAGGCAGTACTTGAGAAAACATACATAAAACTGTGTTATTTCGGGGAATTGCTAATACAACTACTTTGAAAGTAAACTGCAAGTTTTTGAAGAATTTATAATACAATATAGTTCTACGGTTACACAAACTAACGTCACCAAGGACGAAGGGGGATTTGTGGTATTGCAGCCAGTGTGTTTTTGAAGGTACGTTGCCGGTTACCCCCATCGTCGTGGTTACCCGCTAGGTTTCTCATACTGGGGCTGACCTTGGAATCACCTCCCCCGCTGCCGCATTCGCCCTTGTCGTACCACCATTTGTTTTTCAATTTGTCCAACAGGCCCTGCTCGTTCAGTTTTAACACTGCCAAGTTTACTGGGTTTCTTGAAATGATAATAGAATAATACTGGTCAGCATTTATGGAGATGTGATACGTGGTGTGTGGCAGAGGTAGTTCAGAAATAAAGTCTAAAGAGTAAAAAGTAGGTATTGTCATCAGAACAATGAAAAATGTATTTAAAAAAATAAGTAACTAATAATGTGGCTGACACTGTACAATTAAGACAAACATTTGTTTCTAGTATGTAAAAATAATGTAATATGGCTAAACCATGACAGATTTTACCAAGCAAGACAAGGGTTATAGGTAGGAGAACTATAAATGTCAGTAATGTCTTAGATTTTGGTGTGTGATCATATCGTTCTATGAACATTTCCTGAAATAAGTAGTTCCCTGGATAAGGAAAAGGCATAAATAGCCAACTTGTTGATTCACTTTGTAATATTCAGTTTTCGTCAGTCATCATCATTCATTGTGTTATTGTTGTGATCAAGGAACACCATCCAAAGCATTACCGATATTGTCCATTGTGGTCCATTCCCTTGCCTTCACCCTTTGCTATTGCTGGTCCACTGTGGACAACCCTCTCATTACTAACATGGCAGAAGGTGCTGCTGAAAAGAAGACTAATGGACATATAGCAGCATGAACCTCAACAAGCTAGAGTCTTTCTCAGTAAAACCCCTGAATTCTTTCTTATCCAGAGAGAATTAGAAAGAAAGAGTCTGCCTTATGGATGAGTAAAAGAAATCCACATCCTGTATTAGGATTAGTAGCATTTATCTTTGAGAGCGTCAGTTTTCTTGTGATGCAACTGACAAAATAAAGTGATGTGAGTGATGATGATGTGGGGAAAAACAGGAAGGAAGAACATTACATTTTCAACAGGTAAGGCAAGATAAGGCAAGGGTGGGATGGAATGGTGGGCCACATCAGAAGCATAGCAATGAATGACTCTTGGTCCATTTGTGTTTCATGGATATTATGGAGAACTGATTACAGTTTACAACTTTATGATGGTGGATAATGGTGTTGTCTGAATCTGACAGAGCAACATTGATCGTATTTAGAACTGATGGTTAAGAGATTTTCCAAATGATCAAAACCAAAGCTCATATAGAATAGTATGCATCTGATGTGGCAAAGTTCTTACAGTTCATACAGTAGTTATTTCAACAGCATTTTCTACTTCCAACATACACAAACTATCATTAAAGTGCAAATATAGTACACTGCGGCATGGTGATTATTGATTGGTTAAAGCTAGTTTTAGATGGTTCGTTTTCAAGAGCAACATTTTTACAACTTTAAGAATATAGAATAGGAAAATATAAATCCTATATACGTAAATCCAAATAAAGATCAATTGACATAATTGGCTCGGAACTTGATAGCGAATTTGAATTCACAGCCACAGTGTGATACAAAACAGTTAATCTCAGAGCATGTATGAGGCAATCCCGCCCAGCCTGTACCAGCCATCACATCAGTGAGTGTAAGTATGAAAGCCTTTGTGAAACACCACTCTCTTCGGTCACCTTGATAAAGATATTACATGTGTATCAAACATATGTGATGCAGGTAATGTGGAATTGGTAGACTATAAACTAGGTAAACGACATGAGTGATCGATCAAAAAGGCTGCTAGGTGTGGATGCCAAAGCCTATGTGCTTTGTGAATGGGCCTGTTAATATGAGGAAAATAAAATCTGATTGAACACAGATGCATGAAAAGTGGTGAAACTCATGAGTTCCTAAATTTGAACAGCAAAATCTTGCAAAACATAAATAAAACTGGGTTACAGTGCCTTTGCCCTGAAATAACTAGGCAAATACTGGGTCATAATTGGTTTTTGGTACTAAAATAAAATGGTAATTCAATCATGAGAGATGGTACAAGGAAAGGTAACAACTAAAATGTAGGATTCTATTTCTAGGGCTCTTTCTTGCGAAAATGCCGATTTGATATTTACTACCAAAGTGCACATCTCTTGTAGTGTCTCCATTGTCTACTGTTTTTCCAAATGAAGCAGTGAAACAGCACCACAGAGCGCAAAGATAAAAAGCTGCAGGTAATAACATCAGGGCTTAATTTAAAGTTCATTTTAATTAGCTTTCATGTACTATCTGTCAAGACTGAATTTATATTTTCATAACCGTTATCGTCCCCCGTTTGCTTAGTTATTTAATGGAGAAAGACATTGCAAAATGATATTGTATGAATAAGTAAGGGACTGAACAGTCATGCTTCCAACATACAGTTGAAGTCGGAAGTTTACATACACTTAGGTCGGAATCATTAAAACTCGTTTTTTCAACCACTCCACAAATTTCTTGTTAACAAACTATAGTTTTGGCAAGTCGGTTAGGACATCTACTTTGTGCATGACACAAGTAATTTTTCCAACAATTGTTTAGAGACAGATTATTTCACTTATAATTCACTGTATCACAATTCCAGTGGGTCAGAAGTTTACATACACTAAGTTGACTGTGCCTTTAAACAGCTTGGAAAATTCAAGAAAATGAAGTCATGGCTTTAGAAGCTTCTGATAGGCTAATTGACAACATTTGAGTCAATTTGAGGTGTACATGTGGATGTATTTCAAGGCCTACCTTCACACTCAGTGCCTCTTTGCTTGACATCATGGAAAAATCAAAAGAAATCAGCCAAGACCTCAGAAAAAAATTGTAGGTCTCCACAAGTCTGGTTCATCCTTGGGAGCAATTTCCAAATGCCTGAAGATACAACATTCATCTGTACAAACAATAGTACGCAAGTATAAACACCATGGGACCCCGCAGCCGTCATACCTCTCAGGAAAGAGACGCGTTCTGTCTCCTAGAGATGAACGTACTTTGGTGCGAAAAGTGCAAATCAATCCCAGAACAACAGCAAAGGACCTTGTGAAGATGCTGGAGGAAACAGGTACAAAACTATCTATATCCACAGTAAAACGAGTCCTATATCGACATAACCTGAAAGGCCGCTCAGCAAGGAAGAAGTCACTGCTCCAAAACCGCCATAAAAAAGCCAGACTACGGTTTGCAACTGCACATGGGGACAAAGATCGTACTTTTTGGAGAAATGTCTTCTGGTCTGATGAAACTAAAATAGAACTGTTTGGCCATAATGACCATCGTTATGTTTGGAGGAAAAAGGAGGAAACTTGCAAGCCGAAGAACACCATCCCAAACGTGAAGCACAGGGGTGGCAGCATCATGCTGTGGGGGTGCTTTGCTGCAGGAGGGACTGGTGCACTTCACAAAATAGATGGCATCATGAGGAAGGAAAATGATGTGGATATATTGAAGCAACATCTCAAGACATCAGTCAGGAAGTTAAAGCTTGGTAGCAAATGGGTCTTCCAAATGGACAATGACCCCAAGCATACTTCCAAAGTTGTGGCAAAATGGCTTAAGGACAACAAAGTCAAGGTATTGGAGTGGCCATCACAAAGCCATGACCTCAATCCTATAGAACATTTGTGGGCAGAACTGAAAAAGCATGTGCGAGCAAGGAGGCCTGCAAACCTGACTCAGTTACACCAGCTCTGTCAGGAGGAATGGGCCAAAATTCACCCAACTTATTATGGGAAGCTTGTGGAAGACTACCTGAAACGTTTGACACAAGTTAACCAATTTAAAGGCAATGCTACCAAATACTAATTGAGTGTATGTAAACGTATGACCCACTGGGAATGTGATGAAAGAAATAAAAGCTGAAATAAATCATTCTCTCTACTATTATTCTGACATTTCACATTCTTAAAATAAAGTGGTGATCCTAACTGACCTAAGACAGGGAATTTTTACTAGGAATAAATGTCAGTAAGTTTAAATGTATTTGGCTAAGGTGTATGTAAAGTTCTGACTTCAACTGTAAGTACGTGTTGATGATACTTTATTAACTGAGTTGAGACAGAAGGGACACAAGCATTCTAGACTTCTGGTGAGAGTGGTTACAAACCATAAGTACAGTATAGTTATGTATGGCTGAATGAGATCTCACTATAACATTACAATATGTAACTATTACGCATTATTACTGAAACAGACAAAATGTGCATAATTTGCCCATAGATTGAGACATTAATATAACATTTAACTAAATGTATTAAAGCAAATATCTCTTCAGTCATTATTATCTACTTTATAATTACATCTGAAAAATAATTGATCATTTATGTAAGCTCACTCACCTCATTGTGTCTTTGGCATTCACATGTAAAACACAACATGTGGTAGATCGTCATGGTGATGTGACCAGCCTGTAATTACCTTAGTGCTGATCCCTTGGGAGTGGCGATGCCGTATCCTTTAGAGTCCAGGTTTCCGCCCACCTTCATAGTGTCACATGGTTTCCTCTGCTCGATGTACTCGTTCATGGTGGACTCCAGCAGGTAAGCATACCTCCCTTTGGACTTCCTGACCCGTACCACACCCTCGTCTGTGGTCTTCACAAACACTGACGGGTCGGCAGACTTCATGTAGGACCACATCTTCTCAAACACGGCAATCTTCGATCTCTGAGGTGCAAAAACAATAATGACTTGAGTGAACTATATAGGCTACAGATGTGCTCTTTGAGAATGTAGCCATCTCATCAGAAACTATAGAGCCACTTCATGACTGTATGCTTTTTCAGAGTGATAACATCTAGAGCAGCAGCTCACCCTGAAGAACTCTTTGGTGGAGCCTCCGTCTAAGGTACCATAGGCGATCTCCGTCTGCTTGGCCAGGTCCTCAGCACTCTCTATAGGCGACACCATCCTCTCTACTGTGAGGAAGGCAGCCAGGTTAGCCGTGTAGGAGGAGATGATGATGAGGGTGAAGAACCACCACACGCCCCCCACAATGCGACCAGAGAGGGACCTAGAGAGAAGAGAGAGAGGAGTCTCCAATTATCCAAACATTGCCAGTCTACGATAGACTCAAACGAAAGGGAAAGTGTTGCATGAGGGGAGTGACAAATCCATGTTTCAAGAGTAACACTAATCGTTTCTTGGCACACAATGACACTGCATTGCATTCTGTTGACACTACAGATAACCACTCAATCACTTGGATAATCACAGTTTCTCACAATGCCACGGGTACAGTGAGATGTGTAACATACACAATATGAGAAAAAGATAAGCAATTAAAATATTCATGATCAATCATAGCGATAATTGTACCTTCAAAAGACCTGGCGACGCATTTATCAACTGTGCGTACATTTCTCACTAAATTCTAGGCTTTGCGTGCACAACAAATTATTGGGGTTTATCAAACTGTCACATGCAAAATATACGGATGTTTTCATTGATAAATCAGAGCCATACTACATTTGTGCACTCTTGAACGAGCGCTACAACCCCATCTGGAAAATGCCCTCCATTCACCTTTTATGGTAACAAAAACCCTCATTTGCTGTATGATTTGGAAATGTTGGAACTGGGCCATGTCAGTTTCTAAAAGAAAGTGCAATGGCTAATCTTTTGCAATGACTTTTTCAGACTGAAAAGTGCCAAACACTGGCCGCGCATTCTGCAAGATCGATTGTAAAGCTAACTGCCTTTTATGCTCGCTTCGAGGTAAGCAACACTGAAGCATGCATGAGAGCACCAGCTGTTCCGGACGACTCTCTAATCACGCTCACAGTAGCCGATGTGACCAAGACCTTTAAACAGGTCAACATTCAGGCTGCGGGGCCAGACGGATTACTTGGATGTGTACTCAGAGCATGCGCAGACACAACTGGCAAGTGTCTTCACTGACATTTTCAACCTCTCCCTGACCGAGTCTGTAATACCTACATGTTTCAAGCAGACCACCATAGACCCTGTGCCCTAGAAAGCGAAGGTAACCTGCCTAAATGACTACCGCCCTGTAGCACTCACGTCGGTAGCCATGAAGTGCTTTGAAAGACTGGTCATGGCTCACATCAACACCATCATCACGGAAACCCTAGACCCACTTCAATTTGCATACCGCCCCAACAGATCCACAGATGACGCAATCTCAATCGCACTCCACACTGCCCTTTCCCACCTGGACAACAGGAACACCTATGTGATAATGCTGTTCATTGACTACAGGTCAGCGTTCAACACCATAGTGCCCACAAAGCTCATCACTAAGCTAAGGACCCTGGGACTAAACACCTCCCTTTACAACTGGATCCTGGACTTCCTGACGGGTCCCCAGATCCTCAAAAAGTTATACAGCTGCACCATCGTGACCGGTTGCATCACCGCCTGGTATGGCAACTGCTCGGCATCCGACCGTAAGGCGCTACAGAGGGTAGTGCATATAGCCCAGTATATCACTGGGGCCAAGCTTCCTGCCATCTAGGACCTATATACTAGCCGGTGTCAGAGGAAGGCCCAAAGACTGTCACAAACTCCAGTCACCCAAGTCATAGACTGTTAGCTCACCTACCGCACGGCAAGCGGTACCGGAGCGCCAAGTCTAGGTCCAAAAGGCTCCTTAACAGCTTCTACCCCCAAGCCATAAGACTGATGAACAATTAATCAAATGGCCACCCGGACTATTGACCCCCCCCCCCCACTGCTGCTACTCACTGTTTATTATCTATGCATAGTCACTTTACCCCTACCTACATGTACAAATTACCTCGACTAACCTGTACCCCCGCACATTGACTCAGTACCGGTACCCCCTGTATATAGCCTCGTTATTGTTATTTTATTGTGTTACTTTTATTTTATTTTTTACTTTACTTTATTTAGTAAATATTTTCTTAACTCTATTTCTTGAACTGCATTGTTGGTTAAGGGCTTGTAAGTAAGCATTTTACGGTAAGGTCTACACCTCTTGTATTCGGCGCATGTGACAAATACAATTTGATTTGATTTGATATTCAAACAATTTCAAAGTAAATGCTGCCTACAGCCCACACTTCTATGCAAAGGACGAACTGTTGCTCAATATTTTGTTTATCAACACATGATTGTGTTTCTATCTCCTGCCTTGGTATAGGCTCTGAGATTAAATAGGCTATGATGTTGCGCTCCTATCGCACAGCAATACTGTAGCCTACCCATACTGTCAAATATTTTAAATAGGCTACTGATCTATTTACCTTTGAGCATGGTTGGCTATCAAATGAGCAATGGATAAATGGTAGCCTAATAGTTGTTGTGTAGCGGGAATAAACCAGTCCTGTCAGAAAAGGAGAGACATGCCCTGTAATATGATTATGATTTAGGCCTGAATAATAAAAGTAAAATAAATATATTAGGTGACATGCTGCTATTTGATCTCCTTACCAATGGCAAATGCATCTGTTTTATCATTAGGCCTACATTTTAATGTTTTTATTAGCCTACCATTATTATAATTATTGTGCATCAAACAATGCTATTTCCCTTAAAATAACTATATTTGCTTGCAATACAGTTGATCAACCACTAGAAGTTGTGCATACTTTCCCATCAAGTTCAAAAGGGATCAATACCAACCTTTGCGGGAAAACTGGCACACGCAAGGTTTAGTCTTTTTTGTGCGCACAAACCTTTGATAAATGATTCTAGGCCTGAATCTGTGAGCGTTCTACGTTCTGCTACAAAAGTCTTCTAAACCACAGCAGGGACAGAGATAGCTGCTGCAGCATGTCTGCTCCAATGATCACAGCGTCGCTGTGAAACAGTGATCACATTTATGAAAACAGAAACACGTATTGTTGGATTGTCCTTTGTAGGCTGCACCCATCCAATTAGTATGCATTCTATGAAACAATCTTCTCAATTTCAGGCAGATCAGGTGTAAATAAACATGAAAGTTGTGTGGGCTGAGGGGAAGATGGGGAAAGCTGATAGATCTGTAGCAAATAGCGTTCAGCATTAAAGGAGCACTGAGTGTAAATGCAGGTTTCTCGAAGATGACACTCCTCTCTTGGAAGCAGCAAAGCAGCTAACTAAAGCAGAGTAATTGTGTGAAAATAAAAATAACAAGGTGTTGTTCTCTGTTGTTTTATGCAAAGCAGAGGATTAGCTGGCTCCAGTATTTGGATTCACCCTGCATATTTGGGGAGAAGAACATCATCACCCACAGACCTGTTTCCAAATCCAGAAATCATGGCAACCGTTACTCTGGAAGATTCGCTGAACAAAAGCTCATTTTATTGCCCTGAATCCCTGCTGCACAATGCAGCTCACACACTAAAAGAGAATTTAAAGACAGCGACAACAGAGGGAGCCCAGGAATAGGGGTGTGTGTGGGGTGGGGGGGGGGGGGGGGGCATGTGAGAATGCCACTGATAATACCAGCAAAGGAAAGCAAAAACAACTACATTTCCAGAAGAAAATGTGTGTGTTTGCTAGCTTGTCTTAAAGTATTAGTGGTTGTGAAATAAGTTATAGTAGTGGAAGTGACTGCAGTAGTAATGGTAGTGACTGGTTATAGTTGAAAAAGTAGGTAGATGTGAGAATTGATATATTGATTAATTGATTGAATGATTCATAGGATATGATAGCCTGAACATGTGAAAGTTGGTTTGATGTCTCTCGCTTAAACTGTTCAAGAGATGGTGGGTTATTTTATGCTAATGTTTGCAAATAGAAATAGTTAACGTTGTTTAAATGTTTGTAGATGAAATGGTTAAAGAGCAGTAGCATTTAACATGTCTACCACTGTGTTTTTATGGTTGGCATTGAACCCATTAAGTTATATGCTAATTTATGCTAATTAAAACAGTTTATAAAGATTTTAAGTTAGGATTGTTCTTAACGTTTTAAAGTTGGTCTTGTAATTGGCCAAGGAGCAGGACCATTTTGAATAGCTACCACTGTATTCCTATGGTTTTCATTCTAACCCATGTTATTTTATGCAAATCAAATGTGTTATTGTTATAGTTGAAAAAGTGTTAATAGTATAAAAATCTGAATGCAAGCAATATACGTAAGTTGGGTCAGTCTGAATATCTCAACGTTGGTTTGGTGTTGATAGCTTAAACGGTGAAAGAGGAGATAGGTCTAGAATTTTTATTTATTTTTACCATTCAAGTCTGTCGCCCTTTTTTGCCATTGCAATCCATTGGGAGCTAATTTAAATATTGTTGTAGTATATAGCGTATACGGTTACAGAGTTATGAGTTTTGCTCTAATATGAAAATGTATGCAAATGTTAATTTATTAATGGATGGAGAAATTAAATAATCTATTAATCTATTCAGTGTTTCCTTCATCCTGAAATTGGTTTAGAGTTTCTATCTTTAATGGTTAGAAAGCAGTGGCACTGTGAAAATCTACCTCTTATTGTCACCATTGACTCTAATGTAAATATTGCAAGTTTTAAATACTTATAGTAAAAAGTATCAAAAGTATCAAAAAGCCTTTGATATGAAATCTAAGTAGAGTCGTTCTGAACATCTTAAAGTTGGTTTGGTGTTGATAGCTTAAATGGTGAAAGAGGAGATGCGTATCCATTTTTAAATGTTTTACAATTCAAGTCTATGGCTATTGACTTGCATTGAGTTTTATGCAAATATGGTTGTAGTACAAAAAGCATAAATAGTTTCAAAAATATTTTCTTAAGCAACCTGAAGACGGCCTGTCAGCACATTCTAACGTTGATTTGGTGTTAATAGCTTAAGCGGTTTAAGCTCTAGATAGAGCGGAATAAAAATAATAATAATAATAATAATAATAATAATGTATGTAAGTAGGTAGGTAAGAAATCAAGAGTGTTCTTGCCTTCAGCAGGCACACTATGAAGCCATTTCTTCTGTTTCAACTTAAATTCATGACAGCTAACAGGCACAACAACTGGACACAGGGGAACGCTCCAGGTCCAGCCACTACAACAAGGTGGGAAAAACAGCTTGGTCGTCCAGTTACACTTCCAGCATGTTAGCAGCAGGGAACACTTCTAAAATTGACATTAGTTTATTACAATTTTCATGAAAATGCAACTAACTGGTCAGGAGGGTTGATATTAATGTGGATAGCTACTGTATAACACTACCATCAATTCAATATAAGAGGTAATGAGGTACAATAACGATACACAAATCGCCAATGGCAACAGTAAAATGAAAATGAGATATCATTTCCCAAGTGTATGCTACAGCAAACACATGCACACAGGCACGGACACACACACAGGCACCGACACACACACAGGCACCGACACACACACAGGCACCGACATCTGAGGGAGGGAGGCAGTGTTATGTCAGTAGGTCTTTCAGCCAAGTCTGGGCGGGTAACAAGTCTCCAGAGACAATGCTTAACTTCACAACTTGCATTCTGTCGGTCTGTATTGTCTGAACATGACAGTGCAATGATTGCAGCACACAGCTCAGATGTGACGGTCATCTCTGTTTTTGACAGAACCGTTGTTCTGTTAAACTGTTGAGCATGTCATAACACTCAGGGTGACTGGGTCACCTCACCTCTGCACTGGGAAAGGGCTGTGAGGCACGCAGGGTTGAGTTTGTGAGTGTATGTGTGTGTGTGTGTGTGTGTCTGGACGTGCATACCTATGTGCGTGTTTGTGTGGGTCAGAGAAACAGAGTGTACTGTATGTACTGTAAAAGGAGGAGTATGTGTGAGTGTGTAAACCTTTGTAGCTATGGGATGGCTGGGTGTTGGAGTGTGTGTAACAGCAGAGCTGAAAAGACAGGCTGTGCCTGGGGGAGGAAGAGGAGCGTCGGGGCATCTGGTCACACTGATCACATCTGCCTTGGGCCTGGAGGTCTGACCCATTCAAGACCATGTCTCACTGCAGACACACAGACAGGAGGACAGGGGGACTAGCCAAGGATTACACAGTGATCCTTCCCCACTAATGGAGGCTCCTCAGAGGAGGAAGGGAGGGACCATTCTCCTCAGTGAATTTCATACAAATAAAAATTGTAAAACGTTAAAAAAGTTATCCTTTTTAGATAAAGCTTTACTAAATATATTCACGTCACCAAATAATTGATTAAAACACACTGTTTTGCAATGAAGGTATACAGTAGCCTCAACAGCACTCTGTAGGGTAGCAACATGGTGTAGCTGGAGGACACCTACAGTGAGGGAAAAAGGTATTTGATCCCCTGCTGATTTTGTACGTTTGCCCACTGACAAAGACATGATCAGTCTATAATTTTAATGGTAGGTTTATTTGAACAGTAAGAGACAGAATAACAACAAAATAATCCAGAAAAACGCATGTCAAAAATTTTAGAAATTGATTTGCATTTTAACGAGGGAGATAAGTATTTGACCCCTCTGCAAAACATGACTTAGTAACGTAACGTAATGTTACTGCATGATTGTAGCAGGTTTACTAACGCTTTAATTCTATTAGCTATGTTGTCTATGACGTTACTTTAGCTAATATGGTGACAACGATATAGCGGTCATGATATGGTTTGGCTTGGAAAGGTTTTGTCCCCTGGTCACATACAGCATTGAAGTCCACAAGCGAAGGGAAAAGGTGAGAGGAGGAGAGCACGTAGATGCGAAAAGGAATACAACGTGGCTGCTATGAAAGTGAACTGTGTTTACATGTGATCAGGGGTGTATAGATTCTGCCGATTCTGTTGAAAAATGTTTCTTAAACGGAAGCAAACGAAACGGGGATAAACATACCTGAATTTGTCTAATAGAAACTCTCGTTTGCAACTGTTAGACTAATAATTACACTCTAGATCAGCTAGATGCAGGCAAGAGTGTGCAAGGCAGTATTGAATGTGTTACTGTCTGTCCATGTGTCACTGTCTTGTCACCTCAAATGTTTCTCTCGACCTGTGTGCACCTACGTTGTAAACTTTCATTCATAGGCTAGGTTGTAGCAACCTCATGATGTGTATAGGAAAAATGTGAGTATCATGTAGTAGCCTAAACCTATCAATGTTACATTGAACTGGGTGAATGGAATATGAATGACAGTCATCCAATATGCTGTAATAGAAATAAGGTCATGCTTGTGAAATAAAAAAAGTATCCTCTCTCATCTTAAACGGCACCGACCGCCACTGGTGTGCACACACGTACATACTCTATGTATGCGCACACATTTTCTTTAATTAACTTGATATCACCCTGGCTACTGGCAAAAGATGTGCTGTCAGAAGAAGCCAGATTACATTTAATTATATGAAAACCCATCTTAACCCTTTCACAACTCACCTATCTACAGAAGCCTCTGTATGACATAGGTAAGTATGCAATATTTGTCCAGTAAATTACTTTCACATGCTGTGAAACGTTACAGTAATGTTAGAGGTGCATCACACATTCTTCCAGCAATAGAAGTGGAGCGTATGAGGCTGAGAGTGAGAGGGGCGAGGCCTGAGGAAGGTGTTCCTAATCAACACTGCCACTTCTTCACTGCCTCACGCAATCCCTCAGTAAAACTCTCTTAAATATTAGATTGCCTCTGTGAATGGGAGAGAATCCCATCGGCTTTACACAGGGGAGAACAAAAAGGTTAGTGTTCGCTCTAAATCTATCTGTCATGTATACGCTGAGTATACTAAACATAAGGAACACCTTTCTAATATTGAGTTGCACCTCCCCCTTTTGCCATCAGAATAGCCTCAATTCATCGGTGTGTGGACTCTACAAGGTGTCGAAAGCGTTCCACAGGGATGCTGGCCCATATTGACTCGAATGCTTCCCACAATTGTGTCAAGTTGGCTGGATGTCCTTTGGGTGGTGGACCATTCTTGATACCAAAGGGAAACTGTTGAGCATTAAAATCCCAGCAGCGTTGTAGTTCTTGATACAAACCGGTGCGCCTGGCACCTACTACCATACCCTGTTCAAAGGCACTTAAATATTTTGTCTTGCCAATTCACCCTCTGAATGGCACACATACACAATCCATGTATCAATTGTCTCAAGGCGTGAAAATCCTTCTTTAACCTGTCTCCTCCCCTTCATCTACACTGATTGAAGTGGATTTAACAAGTGACATCAACAAGGAATCATAGTTTTCACCTGAATTCACCTGGTCAGTCTGTCATGGAAAAAGCAGGTGTTGTTAATGTTTTATATACTCAGTGTACATGCTGAATGAATGAATGAATTAATTAATTAATGATGAATAGATGGATGGATTAATGCAGCTGTATGTCTGTGAAGCTAATAAGTAATCATGTAATCTGTAATCAACATGTATTAAGACGACACACACAGACATTAACCTCAGAAGTTAAACTAGGCGTTGAGCGGCTCCTGTGAGTTGCAATGTGACGAGCCCTTTCTGAGTGGCAGTGGTGACATTTACAGAGAACAAATACATTTTACCATGAATAAATAGCTGGGGTCTGCCCACAAAGCTGCTACTTCCGTCTCCCTTGCTCATGTAAAGATGTTGTTCTTCAAAGTCATGTTTCGATCTGGCTGTTTGGAGATTATCATCATTATACACAACATGGCAGGTCTGCTAGTTACCGCATTCTCTGCCAAATAACATCCTGCCAAACGCAGCTGGCCAACCAGTCTTTAAACTGCTCCCTCAGAGCTGTTGTCTATATATAACATTTGAGTTGTTGCACTGCAGGTCTTCTCACTGAACTCCCCAGTATGGGTAGCTAGTTGACCTTTCTATTTATACTGACCTTCAGGTGACCTTTCATAATCCCCCACATCTCTGCTCCAAATTAGACCCATCCAGAGATACAGAACCATCACTGTAGTGTACATACTCGCTCAGCCTCACATTGCACACCGTGAAATGTATGCAATAATGAAGAACCTACATGTGTATACAAAACATTAAGAACACCTGCTTTTTCCATGACAGACTGACCAGGTGAATCCAGGTGAAAGCTATGATCCCTTATTGATGTCACTTGTTAAATCCACTTCAATCAGTGTAAATGAAGGGGAGGAGACAGGTTAAAGAAGGATTTCGAAGCCTTGAGACAATTGATACATGGATTGTGTATGTGTGCCATTCAGAGGGTGAATTGGCAAGACAAAATATTTAAGTGCCTTTGAACAGGGTATGGTAGTAGGTGTCAGGCACACAGGTTTGTATCAAGAACTGCAACGCTGCTGGAATTTTCACGCTAAAAAGTTTCCCATGTGTATCAACAACGGTCCACCACCCAAATGACATCCAGCCAACTTCACACAACTGTGGGAAGCACTGTAGTCAACATGGGCCAACATCCCTTTGGAATGCTTTCGACACCTTGTAGAGTCCATGCCCTGACGAATTGAGGCTGTTCTGAGGGCAAAAGGGAGAGGGGTGGGGGGGGGTGCAACTCAATATTAGGGAAGTGTTCCTTATGTTTGGTATCCTCAGTGTAGATGTCACGCCCTGGCTCTGGGGACTCTTAAATGTTGAGCCAGGGTGTGGATTTGCTATGTTTAGTTTTTCTATGTTTTTGTTCTAGATCGTTTGATCTATGTTGGCCAGGGTGGTTCCCAATCAGAGGCAGCTGTAGCTCGTTGTCTCTGATTGGGGAACATACTTAGGCAGCCTGTTTTGCACTAGTCTTTGTGGGATCTTGATCCGTAAAGGTTTGTTGTGTTATAACCTCAGGACTTCACGTATCGTTTGTTTGTTGTTTTTGTCATTAAGTACGTTAAATAAAAGTATGTACGCTTATCACGCTGTGCCTTGGTCCGTGTCTTCAGTCAACGATCGTGACAGTAGATTCTTGTCATAAACAATCTCAGTATGACAAAGAGCGGAGCACAAGAGTCTTCAAACTAATTGGAGAGGTGTTCTTATATAAGTAGTACCTCCAGTGTGCTACGTTACTGATTAAGAGACCCCCTACGTGTGAACGTAGCTCATCTGTGTTCTGGCCCCATGAGTAAAGAACTCCTCATCCCACTGAGTTCTTTCATCACTGTCTGACCCACTGAGGTAGCAAGGAGGTGAATCCCCACTGGGTCAGGCAGGCCTCCTCTCCTCTGACAGCCTAGGAGATGAAGGCAAATCACCCAAGCAAGTCAACTGAGGAGAGGGGACACTTAAATGTTGGGCAAAATAGCAGATAAGAGAAGATCAACACATTTGTAAAGATTTGATTTAGACCAATCACCCATCTGCAGTACACCACCTGGTTGGAGAGTACAAAGGGACAGAGGAAAATAAACATGTACAGTACAAACTAAGACGGACTGCTTGGGATGTTCTTCTCCTGAAGCTTAACCATTCTGGCAGGGCTAAACGGCCGCATCTATGACAGGGAAAACAACATCTGTCACAGGCAGCTTTCTGCAAATGTAATCTAATTTGAGCCCATTAGTTCCCCCAAAGTAAAAGGATACACATGTCCTACCTAAATGTCAGACAGTGGCTGAGGAGCCAGCAGTTAGCGCAAGCCAAGCGCCCAGAGGAGGAGGCAGTGAGCCATCAGCAGGAATGTCACCAGACTGACCTGCACTATTGTTCTGGTAAAGAATCCCCATATGACTTTATGAAGGAATAAATGTATAATATACAAGTGTTAACTGAGCCTAGGTGACAATGGAATATAAAAGAACAAAGGATGCCAGGCGAGGGTCAGGGTATCTTTAGCTGCAGGCAGGCAGGGATGCAGGACACAGTACAGTATGGTTAGTTGGAAACAAAGGCACAGGGCAGAGAATTGTGATAATGAGAATGGAACTCCTGTCCTATGCCAAGGGAGCAGCGCATAAGGAACCACATAGATACGGCCAAAAGCAATTGCAATCCAATATGTATCTGTCATTTTCTTTCTATGAGATACACAGGTGGCACAATGTCAAGTGGTCCACCCGAAAGGGTTATTTTATTGTTAACTCACTTGAAGGAATGCATCCTGTAAGAACCATAACCGAATCTATCTAATTTCTCAAATTCTTCTTTTGAAATTGACATGTCTATTCACAGAGAATCAGCATGAAAAATAAACCCTCTTTTGTGTCACAAAAATACCCCTATCTCCTCTCTGAGGAGCGTCTGCTGATGTCCCGGTCTGCCCTTATAAGAGCACAACAACAAGCCCCTCCAACAGCAGCCTCCTGGCCCAGACTGGACTCTGTGTCCTGGGGCTTGACCTGGGCTAGGTACCCCTGGCCTGGGTCTGGCCTGGACCCCATGACTGCTGCCTTGGGTTGTGAATAGAACAAAGCCTCCTCAAGGCCCAGTCCAGCCATACTGTCTGTCGGTCAGTCTGTCACTCTGCTCTGCTTCTGTTCTGTTCTGCAGGATGCCTCTGTATCCTGTCTGCTGATGACACATCTCCGCTGTCTTCACTGTGGGGTAACTATTCTAACTACCTTTGTTCTTGACCTTTTTCATCACCATGTGGAAGGGGGTTTGGGGGGACAATGCATTTCATCACACTGGAGGATCTATCTTTAGCAGAGTGCAGTTGCAGTAGATTGATAATGGTCACCTGCCTTTATCAGTTCAAATGTTTTTACGCATTACCTGGGTTACAGGTATTTTCATTTCCTTGGTATTTATCTTGTTGTAATACATTGCATGGAGGATCTCACCGTTAACAAATACTGTATTACTGCTAAATCAAGTACAACAATGAAATAACACAATTCAAGATTATGTCTGCTGATGATGACGCACTGTAATACTGATGAATGAGGAAGGATGCTAACGTTGTTAATAGAAACACTACAGGTAACAGTGGGGGTAGAAAACAGACCACCTACCTTGGTGAGATGTCACAGCCCTGCTGCATGAAGGCGCCCAGCGAGAACCACAAGCTGTTGAATATCCCAAACTCATTGGTGTGCCCTTCGCCCTGCCCCTGTCCCTGTCCCTGTCCTTGGCCCTGGTTTTGGCCCTGTTGGGACTGGGACTGACCTGGCTCTCTCCTGGGACTGGAGGACGATGGCTGGTTGTGCTGCTGTCTCTGCTGCTGCTCTTGACCCTCCTCCCCATCTGAGTCGTCCCCCTGCCACTCGTACGGGCTGAAGCGGCTGACCAGGAAGAGAACCACGCTCACGCCGATGTAGGCAAACACAATGCACATCCAGATCTCGTAGGCCAGAGGATCCAGGAAGGAAAATACTCCAGGTTTGGACTTGGTAGGCTTCTTGATCATGATGGAGATGCCCAGGGACATGAAGGGCTTGGAGAAGTCGATCACCTCCTCTCTCACCAGGGTGATGGTCAATGGGGCTACTGCCACGTCTGCTTTCTAGGAGGCAAGGAGATAATGATGTGTTTATCTATGTATCCCTCAATGTATAATTCACCAACAGTATCCCTACACTCAGAAATCCCATCTCTGTACTCGTCCTTCCACCCATAAAGTCTTCAAGTGGAGATGACAAAAGTATTTCCTTAAGGTGAGGTGAAGGAATGTAACTAACTATTCCCATGGGCAGGGATTAGCATACACATCAGTAATAGTAAACTCTCTTTCCATAAGAGAGGACTTTCTGAGATAACTCTCTCTAGAGAGCTCCGGCTTACATAAACACTGAGTCTTTTCAAGCTGAATAATAATGAATCGCTTTCAAGAAATATTAGGCTTACTACTCTGAGAGAAAAAACAAAAACCCTCAAGCGAGACATGATTTGGTTGAGTCCACCCAGCACCTCTGTCATTGTATGGACAGAACATATTCTACAGTACCCTAGACCAAACTGTTAGAGCGTATATTTCATATCAAGTTCCTGAGGGCAGAGAAATAGGGTTTGACATGATTCCCATGAAAAATTGAAGATATGCGAAGTGACAGTTCTGTAAGGAACATTTCAACAACAAACTTCCTGGAATAAACATCCAGCTGCCGTGTTGTGCTCATGCTGTTGCCTGTTACCCAACTTTTGGGGGGTAACGGGCAGCAGCTTTTGACTATTTGGTACCTTACCACTTCAACATTGGCAGCCTATCTGGGCCCATCTGCATTGTGTAGTTATGTTTTGACATTGAGGGAGCTGCTAAACGTTTAAAGTGAGGGGTACAGACCTTTGTCAGAATATATCTTAGAGCTCGTAGGGACACATTGTGTCCTGGCTGAAGCCAAGCTGTGACACACTTCTCCAACACATTGTTATTCTTATCACAAATCATTTATGTCAACCCTACATAGTATTGGAAAGAAATGAACTGCACTACAGTATGTCCTTTGGCTACGGCAGCAACATAATGTACAATGTAGATCTGTGTGTGTTCCAGATTTCAAATAACACAACAGAACAGTAGTTATACTAAAGGCCACATTGAATTTGTTGTATGTATTTAGTATGTGACAAACACCCACTAATGAAATCATTGCACATGTCTTTTGCAGACATTTGTTTGGTTAAAAATAGGTTTAAAGTAGTGTCTGGTTGAATATTGAAGCATATCACTGGGGAAGAGCTATAGTGAAGGTTGTGATAAAGGATGGTACAATGGTGTGTACTGTTGCAAATATTGTACCACATTTGTACCATTTTATTTTAGTTACTGCAACTTTATAAACTGAACGAGCGGTTACATAAAAAAATGAGTCAGGCTGTGTCAAATTAAAAAGCAATTATTGTCCTTGCCATTGGATGAATTCCATGGACTGCTGTGTTGTCTGAGAGTGTATGATAAACACATTTATCCTCTCAGAGCCTAGTGAGGTGCCCAGTATGTTCATGAGATGGTTACTAACCCCATAAACCAGCTCGCCCACCATCCCGTTCCACATCTTGGACTCAGCATCTCTGGCTCCGTACTTGCCATCGCTTACGACCTCTAGCTTATAGGTGTAGCCCACATGCTTGGCGATCTCGGCGGCCAGCTCCACACAATAGCCCTCATACTTATCGTTCCCCACCAGCTGCTCATGGTTCTTCTTTAGCATCACATATGGAGATTCCTTGGAAACATGAAGGACAACATTGATGTCTGGTTCTTTTTGAAATTTTCGTCACACTTTGCATGCATTCACCATGACTCTTTCATTCATTTTTAAAAGGGCCACTTATTATGAAGCTTTCGACCTTTCTTTGGGATAACGAACACACGGTACGTTATAATTTATCACCTTTTATACAAACATTGGGCAGTGGTATAGTGCTATTTTTTTGGGATGTCATCATTTCTCAATCAAAGTTTGTACCGACAGGTGTAGCATATTGAATATCATTGTAGAATAGGCCTATGCATAAAATGCATCCTCCAATTGCAACATTTGCCCATGACCACACAAAGTATTAAGAAAATCTTCTATTTTTAATATCCTTAAAGAACAAGTTAGGCATAGGCCTACCTAATTTCAAAATAGGCCATCATCACTGTCAATCGTGAATGATAATTCTTCACGTTTTACCGGTGAAATGTCCAAACTGCATGCCAATCATTTGATCTCAGTCAGTTTCATGGGAATATAACAGAAAACACTTGCTACTCCTACTGCTCTTTCCTCATCTGATCATGTGTTCTCGCATACCCCGAGAGAATCTGGTCAGCACGGCGGTGGCACAGGAATCCACATCTCTCCCAAGTGAACATTCTCTCTTTTCCCCCTGACCCATCTGTCTATCTCCTCATTTGAATTCCATGCTGTCACAGTCACTAGCCCATTCAAGCTTAACATCCTTGTCATTTATCGCCCTCCAGGTTCCCTTGGAGAGTTCATCAATGAGCTTGACGCCTTGGTAAGTTCCTTTCCTGAGGATGGCTCACCCCTCACAGTTCTGGGTGACTTTATCCTCCCTACGTCTGCCTTTGACTCATTTCTCTCTGTCTCCTTCTTTCCACTCCTTTCCTCTTTTGACCTCACCCTCACACCGTCCCCCCATACTCACAAGGCAGGCAATACGCTTGACCTCATCTTTACTAGATGCTGTTCTTCTATTAATCTCACTGCAACTCTCCTCCAAGTCTCCGACCACTACTTTGTATCCTTTTCTCTCTCGCTCTCCTCCAACACTACTCACTCTGCCCCTACTCAGATGGTAATGTGCCGTCGCAACCTTCGCTCTCTCTCTCCTGCTACTCTCTCCTCTTCCATCCTATCATCTCTTCCCTCTGCTAAATCCTTCTCCCTCCAATCTCCTGATTCTGCCTCCTCAACCCTCCTCTCCTCCCTCTCTGAATCTTTTGACTCTCTATGTCCCCTATCCTCCCAGCCGGCTCGGTCCTCCCCTGCTGCTCCGTGGCTTGACGATTCATTGCGAGCTCACAGAACAGGGCTCTGGGCAGCCGAGCGGAAATGGAGGAAAACTAGACTCCCTGCGGACCTGTCATCTTTCCACTCCCTCCTCTCTACATTCTCTTCCTCAGTTTCTGCTGCTTAAAGCCACTTTCTACCACTCTATATTTCAATCCTCTGCCTCTAACCCTAGGAAGCTCTTTGCCACCTTCTCCTCCCTGCTGAATCCTCCTCCTCCCTCTCTGTGGATGACTTCGTCAACCATTTTGAAAAGAAGGTTGACGACATCCATCTCATTCAACTGAGACTGCTCTTCTCTGTGTCACGGAGGCTCTCCACACTGCTAAAGCTAACTCTCTCTCCTCTGCTCTCATCCTTCTAGACCTATCTGCTGCCTTTGATACTGTGAACCATCAGATCCTCCTCTCCACCCTCTCCGAGTTGGGCATCTCCAGGGCGGCTCACTCTTGGATTGCGTCCTACCTGACAGGTCGCTCCTACCAGGTGGTGTGGCGAGAATCTGTCTCCGCACCACGTGCTCTCACCACTGGTGTCCCCCAGGGCTCAGTTCTAGGCCCTCTCCTATTCTCTCTATACACCAAGTCACTTGGCTCTGTCATATCCTCACATGGTCTCTCCTATCATTGCTACGCAGATGACACACAATTAATCTTCTCCTTTCCCCCTTCTGATAACCAGGTAGTGAATCAGATCTCTGCATGTCTGGCAGACATATCAGTGTGGATGTCGGATCACCACCTCAAGCTGAACCTCGGCAAGACGGAGCTGCTCTTCCTCCCGGGGCAGGACTGCCCGCTCCATGATCTCGCCATCACGGTTGACAACTCCGTTGTGTCCTCCTCCCAGAGTGCAAAGAACCTTGGCGTGACCCTGGACAACACCCTGTCTTTCTCCGCTAACACCAAAGCGGTGACCCGATCCTGTAGGTTCATGCTCTACAACATTCGCAGAGTACGACCCTACCTTACACAGGAAGCGGCACAGGTCCTAATCCAGGCACTTGTCATCTCCCGTCTGGATTACTGCAACTTGCTGATGGCTGGGCTCCCTGCCTGTGCAATTAAACCCCTACAACTCATCCAGAACGCTGCAGCCCGTCTGGTGCTCAACCTTCCCAAGTTCTCTCACGTCACCCCGCTCCTCCCCACACTCCACTGGCTTCCAGTTGAAGCTTGCATCTGCTACAAGACCATGGTGCTTGCCTACGGAGCTGTGAAGGGAACAGCACCTCCTTACCTTCAGTCTCTGATCAGTCCCTACACCCAAACGAGGGCATTGCGTTCATCCACCTCTGGCCTGCTGGTCCCCCTGCCTCTGCGGAAGCACAGTTCCCACTCGGCCCAGTCAAAACTGTTCGCTGCTCTGGCACCCCAATGGTGGAACAAGCTCCCTCACGACGCCAGGACAGCGGAGTCACTGACCACCTTCCGGAGACACTTAAAACCCTACCTCTTTAAGGAATACCTGGGATAGTATAAAAGTAATCATTCTACCCCCACCCCCCACCCCACCCCCACAAATAAATAAATAATAATAATAATAATAATAATAATGATACAAAAAATACATAAAAAAATATATACAAATTTGAAGAAAAAAAAAATATATACACACAGTGGGGGAAAAAAGTATTTAGTCAGCCACCAATTGTGCAAGTTCTCCAACTTAAAAAGATGAGAGAGGTCTGTAATTTTCATCATAGGTACACGTCAACTATGACAGACAAATTGAGAAAAAAAATTATCCAGAAAATCACATTGTAGGATTTTTAATGAATTTATTTGCAAATTATGGTGGAAAATAATTATTTGGTCAATAACAAAAGTTTCTCAATACTTTGTTATATACCCTTTGTTGGCAATGACACAGGTCAAACGTTTTCTGTAAGTTCACAAGGTTTTCACACACTGTTGCTGGTATTTTGGCCCATTCCTCCATGCAGATCTCCTCTAGAGCAGTGATGTTTTGGGGCTGTCGCTGGGCAACACGGACTTTCAACTCCCTCCAAAGATTTTCTATGGGGTTGAGATCTGGAGACAGGCTAGGCCACTCCAGGACCTTGAAATGCTTCTTACGAAGCCACACCTTCGTTGCCCGGGCGGTGTGTTTGGGATCATTGTCATGCTGAAAGACCCAGCCACGTTTCATCTTCAATGCCCTTGCTGATGGAAGGAGGTTTTCACTCAAAATCTCACGATACATGGCCCCATTCATTCTTTCCTTTACACGGATCAGTCATCCTGGTCCCTTTGCAGAAAAACAGCCCCAAAGCATGATGTTTCCACCCTCATGCTTCACAGTAGGTATGGTGTTCTTTGGATGCAACTCAGCATTCTTTGTCCTCCAAACACGACGAGTTGAGTTTTTACCAAAAAGTTATATTTTGGTTTCATCTGACCATATGACATTCTCCCAATCCTCTTCTGGATCATCCAAATGCACTCTAGCAAACTTCAGACGGGCCTGGACATGTACTGGCTTAAGCAGGGGACACGTCTGGCACTGCAGGATTTGAGTCCCTGGCGGAGTAGTGTGTTACTGATGGTAGGCTTTGTTACTTTGGTCCCAGCTCTCTGCAGGTCATTCACTAGGTCCCCCCGTGTGGTTCTGGGATTTTTGCTCACCGTTCTTGTGATAATTTTGACCCCACGGGGTGAGATCTTGCATGGAGCCCCAGATCGAGGGAGATTATCAGTGGTCTTGTATGTCTTCCATTTCCTAATAATTGCTCCCACAGTTGATTTCTTCAAACCAAGCTGCTTACCTATTGCAGATTCAGTCTTCCCAGCCTGGTGCAGGTCTACAATTTTGTTTCTGGTGTCCTTTGACAGCGCTTTGGTCTTGGCCATAGTGGAGTTTGGAGTGTGACTGTTTGAGGTTGTGGACAGGTGTCTTTTATACTGATAACAAGTTCAAACAGGTGCCATTAATACAGGTAACGAGTGGAGGACAGAGGAGCCTCTTAAAGAAGAAGTTACAGGTCTGTGAGAGCCAGAAATCTTGCTTGTTTGTAGGTGACCAAATACTTATTTTCCACCATAATTTGCAAATAAATAAATTAAAAATCCTACAATGTGATTTTCTGGAGAAAAAAAATCTCAATTTGTCTGTCATAGTTGAAAATTACAGGCCTCTCTCATCTTTTTAAGAGGGAGAACTTGCACAATTGGTGGCTGACTAAATACTTTCTCTCCCCCCCCCACTGTATATACACACACACATACACATATCCTTTAAAAAATATATTTCCCTTTATTACTTTCCAACCCCAAGTTGCTGGATATTGGCGGGAACTGGAACACGCTGTTGTAAACGTCGATCCAGAGCATCCCAAACATGCTAAATGGGTGACATGTCTGGTGAGTATGCAGGCCATGGAAGAACTGGGATATTTTCAGCTTCCAGGAATTGTCTACAGATCCTTTTGACATGGGACCATGCATTATCATGCTGAAAGATGAGGTGATGGCTGTGGATGAATGGCATGACATCAGGATCTCGTTATGGTATCTCTGTGCATTTAAATTGGCCTCGATAAAATGCAATTGTGTTTGTTGTCCGTAGCTTATGCCTGCCCATACCGTAACCCCACAGCCGCCATGGGGCACTCTGTTCACAACATTGACATAAGCAAACCACTTGACCACACGACGCTATACATGTGGTCTGCGGTTGTGAGGCCTGTTGGACGTACTGCCAAATTCTCTAAAACAACGTTGGAGGCGGCTTATGGTAGAGAAATGAACAATAAATTATCTGGCAACAGCTCTGGTGGACATTCCTACAGTCAGCATGCCAATTCCACGCTCCCTCAAAACTAGAGACATCTGTGGCATGGTGTTGTGACAGAACTGCATATTTGAGATTGGCCTTTTACTGTGCACAGCACAAGGTGCACCTGTTTAATGATCATGCTGTTTAATCAGCTTCTTGATATGCTACACCTGTCAGGTGGATGGATTATCTTGGCAAAGGAGAAATGCTCACTAACAGGGATGTAAACAAATTTGTGCACAATTCTTGAGAAAATAAACTTTTTTGAGTATGGACAATGTCAGTGATTTTATAGTTTAGCTCGTGAATCACGGGACCAACACTTTATATGTTGCATTTATATTTTTGTGCAGTGTATATTTGGTTCTGTTATGTAAAATACTAATGCATCATTATGTGATCTTGCGCGACATTGATTCAGCTTTGATCTAACTTTACTAACCGAGCATCATTGTGAGAAGTGAGAAGCTTCTATTTGTAATAATAATAATAATAATAATAATAATAATAAGTAATGACTAATAGGCAACATACAGTGCCTTGCAAAAGTATTCATCCCTCTTGGCATTTGTCCTATTTTGTTGCATTACAACCTGTAATTTAAATGGATTTTTTTGGGGATTTCATGTAATGGACATATACAAAATAGACGAAATTGGTGTAGTGAAATGAAAAAAATTACTTGTTTCAAACAATTCTAAAACATAAATAACGGAATAGTGGTTTGTGCATATGTATTAACCCCCTTTGCTATGAAGCCCCTAAATAAGATCTGGTGCAACCAATTACCTTCAGAAGTCACATAATTAGTTAAATAAAGTCCACCTGTGTGCAATCTAAGTGTCACATGATCTGTCACATGATCTCAGTATATATATACCTGAGTCTGCAACACCACTAAGCAAGGGGCACCACCAAGCAAGCACCATGAAGACCAAGGAGCTCTCCAAACAGGTCAGGGACAAAGTTGTGGAGAAGTACAGATCAGTGTTGGGTTATAAAAAAATATCCAAAACTTTGAACGCCCACGGAGCACCATTAAATCCATTATTCAAAAATGGAAAGAATATGGCACCACAACAAACCTGCCAAGAGAGGGCCGCCCACCAAAACTCATGGACCAGGCAAGGAGGTCATTAATCAGAGAGGCAACAAAGAGACCAAAGATAACCCTGAAGGAGCTGCAAAGCTCCACAGCGGAGATTGGAGTATCTGTCCATAGGACCACTTTAAGCAGTAGACTCCACAGAGCTGGGCTTTACGGAAGAGTGGCCAGAAAAAAGCCATTGCTTAAAGAAAAAAATAGGCAAACACGTTTGGTGTTCGCCAAAAGCCATGTGGGAGACTCCCCAAACATATGGAAGAAGGTACTCTGGTCAGATGAGACAAAAATTGAGCTTTTTGGCCATCAAGAAAAACAGGGAAATTCTTGACGGAAACCTGTTTCAGTCTTCCAGAGATTTGAGACTGGGACGGAGGTTCACCTTCCAGCAGGACAATGACCCTAATCATACTGCTAAAGCAACACTCGAGTGGTTTAAGGGGAAACATTTAAATGTCTTGGAATGGCCTAGTCAAAGCCCAGACCTTAATCCAATTGAGAATCTGTGGTATGACTTAAAGATTGCTGTACACCAGCAGAACCCATCCAACTTGAAGGAGCTGGAGCAGGTTTGCCTTGAAGAATGGGCAAAAATCCCAGTGGCTAGATGTGCCAAGCTTATAGAGACATAACCCAAGAGACTTGCAGCTGTAATTGCTGCAAAAGGTGGCTCTACAAAGTATTGACTTGGGGGGGGTGAATAGTTATGCACACTCAAGTTCTGTTTTTTTGTCTTATTTCTTGTTTGTTTCACAATAAAAAATATTTTACATCTTCAAAGTGGTAGACATGTTGTGTAAATCAAATGATTTAAACCCCCCCCCAAAAAATCAAATTTAATTCCAGGTTGTAAGGCAACAAAATAGGAAAAATGCCAAGGGGGGTGAATACTTTCGCAAGCCACTGTATCTTGATGAGGGTTATTTTAAGCGATTTGAAAGCCCTTTGAATCACGGTGGTGAAAGGACAGCACCGTAACCAAGTGGTCACATATCATTCTGGGTTCCACTGCGCAAGAGGGGGTCCGTGGAGTTTTATGAACATCAAGGCAGACACGCTGTGAATTTGGATCCTAGATCTAGTTGGTGTGATGATAAAGTTCATGTGGTGGATCAGTTTGTCTGCATACGCAATAGAGGTGGTACGTTTCTGTAAGCTAAGCACTCGGACAGTAGGGCGAGTTCAAGTGCGTCGTACATTAGCCCCAAGTCCATAATAAACTGTTTTGAGGACAGCCGTTTTAGCAACCCCTGGTAGAGTTTTCTGTCTGTCTTGCTATGTTGGATTTAGCCCGCTCAAAGTGGTAAAGTGTCCGACCGACGGGCCTCTGCACACACGCCTACAGTTACTCATCATTAGCGCCCCCGCCAGAGAGAGAAGACAAAGAAGAAACCACATTTAATCATTTAATCTTAGTGGTAATAATATCAGAATAAAATGTACTGAAATATTTTTAACAGCTCAGTGTATTCTCAAATTGAAAAAAGTGAGGGAGTGCCGCTCCCCCGTGCTATGGCAGCACTACATCCCTGACCATGGGGCTTCACACCAATTTATGTAAATGTATTTGTGTAGCCTACACGAAGGGGCCTTCAAATGGCATTATTCATGGCCACCCTCTCGCACCTTCTCCTTAGTGTGGGTTGATTCAGATCTGATGGGCGAGCAGCGCTCCTGCTATTTCTGGCTGGCCAGGCCTGGGTGACTGTAAAGGGGCTGTGTGGAGCTCTGCCCTCCAGATAAAGCAGAACAGAGCTGCTGTGAAAACAGCCCTTATGGCAAGGCCATAGGTGGACACAGCATAGCGTACAATCTGGAAATAGACCATAGTGTGGCCGAGATGGTGGTTTCAAAAGGATAGTATTAAGAGTTCAGATTAGCCCAGAAGCATTTTGAGACACGTAAGGGCTCTCCCTCCCTGATCCCTTGACTTGACCCACTGATATTGATAGACCATTTCAACAGAGATTGCTTAGATGGATGAATGTGCTGTACGAAATGAAAAGTTTAAATACATTCACTCTCCAATTTATCTGGGATAGTTGCCACTCATTTCTATCCCTTTGTGTATCTAACCTAAAAATCCCTATTTTTCAGTATAACCTCTCCACCTGGCCGTCTTTCTTATGCCAGATCTACTGGCAGTGTTATTCAGTGCTGCAGCCGGGACTGATCTCACCAACCCTGATCAGAGGTGACCTGAACCTTTCTGATGTGTTGATATGGCAGAGCTACAATGGAGGAGCTGAATGCAGTCACCATGCAGAAAGGGAAAGAGCATAATCAGCTGGCTTGCCAACTCTGACCGCTCAGACTTCATAGCCAGGCAGGAGAGCCGCTTCTGGGACATCCCTCAAAGACACACTAATACCACGGCTTCTGTTGCCAGGGCATTGTCATATGACAACATGAGAGAATTTGTGTATCTGTTATTTTGCTGCAGCTACCTCCTGTTTACAAAGCTGTGCGGATATCACTATGCCAAAAAATACAGACAGTTCTCAGGACTTTGTAACATTAACTGCACTGCCATACTGCTACAGATTAATATTATGGGTTGATAAAAGCGACTCTCTACTGTTCTATGTTTCCATACCAAACACAGCTTTAAACAACTGTCCTATTTTGGTCCATGGAACATTATCATCATACAAACATTGAGCCTTTCAGTTAAGCTAGTGAGACTCACAAGGATAGTGGTCACTATGTAGGTCCTGTTTTGCAGTCCGAAGAATTCTTCAACCACTGGCGTGTATACCGCTGTGTTCACATAGTTCTCATACTCATTCCAGTAGCCCACCTGCAGTCAGAAGGGGTACAGTATATCAAGACACATAGCAGAAGAAATCCTACACTTCTATTTATAGTGTAATAAATATGAATACACTGTAGTGTAGTGTGGGGATAAGCACATCCCTTAACTCATATGGTTAATCCCCTAGCTAGTCGTTAAGCCATACTCCGTGATAACCAACACCTCCTACTGTGCATCAGGGCCAGCCTGTCCTACTCTCAGGTTGTAAGACTGTCTTGGTGATAACATTAAAGAGAAATATACAGTCATCTTTATGCACAAACACCCTGCATACCAAATTATATGAGGAATTTGCTCCACAGATCACTAAGTACTATAGCTAACGTGCCACTGGTTGCATTAATGTATTTACTCTGATATAGTGTACATTTTGTCATGTGAAATATAAATGGGTATATTATAAACTCGAAAAGCTAGGGTAACTCAGTTTCTGATTCAGTGTAAATAAATTATTTGCATATGAATAAAATAATATGAAAATCCTACAACTACGCTATGAAAGCAAATACAGTATGTCACATTCTGACATGACATGAACATTGGAGACACTCATTATAAATAATGCCAATTTGTTCATTTTACTGTTCTGTTTTGCTTGGCTCCAGCTGTTCTTGATGCTGGGCATATTCCTAGTGAATGACCAGTCCATTTTTCTTTAAAACATTTTTTGTTGTTAACATTAAATCCAACATTTAAATCAAATCTAATGGATTTCTCCTACTGTGTCTACTGTGTTTAGGTCAAATATCATACAGTATACTATCTAACTGTACACAACAGATTTCCCCTGAGGATGATAAAGTGGTTGATTGATAATTAGAGGTTATAGACGAGTCCCAATTCACCTTCAGTGGTCCACTCGGGCTCAGCTCCATTACGTTGACCGTGAAGTTGGTCCGATGGCCTTTCTCGTTAAACTGGACATGTCCAGTCAATCCCTCAATCCGAACCTGTGGGGCAAACCAGATATTGACCAGGTATGAAGAACGGCTAACTAGGAGATACGTGCAACCTGGAATCTCAATAACGAATAACGCTCAAGGCTTTTCAAGTACAGTACACAAAGAAATCAACATCTGATATATTTTCACACAATACTGTATATATCATCATAGCTACAAGCAAAAATAGCATAACATAATTTTTCTTATCTCAAGAATACAAGATTGCTATCTAAGGATTCTAATATTACCAGCTGGTTGTGTTGACATTGCATGCTGTCTAACATAATATTTTAAATATAAGTCTCCAGGTCACAAGATAACTTTCTAAGGAATACATATCGCTCATAGGTTTGCAATTGCTGTTTCTTAAAATGTTGGTGGGCCTGAAACTGAGGGTTTTAACGCAATAGTACTTAATTAAGCTGGTATTGTATTGTAATATATTGCATTGTATTTTATTGTATTGTACAGTATTTCTCATAGTCATACATGATTAATTGCCTGTGCGGCTAGTATTGAGTTTGAATCCTAGTCATTGTCGTCCAGCTGTGGCTGTGGAGTGAGTGATGCTAACTGCCTACCTGCTGAAGGGCTCTCTGGATGTCGATACCCTGGCCCCAGGGAGCTGGTGGGTTGGCCAGACACTCGCCAGCATTACCTCGCCGGGAAATGTCAATACGCTGCTTCCGAAGGTTCTGAAAGGCAGTGGCCATGACGCTCACTCCGTCGTATGTGAGGGCTCCTGTGTACTGAGAGGGCAAATCCAAGGAGGTAACATTAGAGGCTTACATATAAATTATGTTTGTTGTAACCTTGAAAACTTTAATGGAAAGATCTCTGAACAATGAGACAGTTCGATCATACCTTCAGTCTTCTCTTGGGTTGTTTGAGGTCTTTGCTGTCAAAGTCCACCCACTCCTCTATGGCCTTGCTGACGTTTTCGTCTGAGTAGTTCATTATTTGGAACCCGGTGATATTGGCACCACTCTTCTGGAACTCAGTGAAGTTCATGTCCAAAAAGCCCTAGGAAAGAAGGAATCGAAAGAAGCAAGCTTTGAAAGAAGCAAACCTGAGCTAATTAAACAAAACAGAGCCAAAAATGGCCCAGCCGTAATGATGGTGCAGATAATTGTATGACAGTCTCTTTTCAGAGTGCTGGTATTGAAAGTTTTGATTTCTCAGAGCTGCTACTCAGCTGTTCAACCCCCCTTGAGAAGCCAGAGATTAAAAGTCCAGGCAATCATTACAAATCTATGAAGCACAAGATGAAAACCACTTTTCTACAGTTTGACAAGCAATCTCCACAGCTGTCTTTTCAACTTAATCTGCCTTCTTTTGCTATATTGATTTTCAAATATGACTACTTATATTATTGCAAAGATAGAATAAAAAATTAGTTTCAAGTCAAACACAGGACAGCACTCCCACAGTATTTGAGCATGTGGGGAAGTGTGCATACTAAACCATACAGCAGACACACATCAAATTGCCTGAGGACTTGAAATTGGAACTTTAAATTGAATTGTTCCTAGTGGTTTCTTTGATTGACTTAGAGATATGGTGGGCAACCAAGTGGGAGAGACTCCCCTGACCGTATTTGCATTTAATTACCTGCGTCTCCAGAGTCTAAGAGCATCAAACTACATTACACCTCCCATCTGGAGTCACACTGCAGCTTGCCTCGGAAACAGGCTTCAGCAAACATTATTTTAATGCTTTCTTTGAATGATAAAAAGTCACATATTACATATTTCATTCTTACCCTGAGGCTATAATTAATAAGAACAGTTCTGGAAGTTTAGGGAATCTTCATAGGTTGATAACTAAGATCAAGTCTTGTTACATAGGCCATGCTTAATCAATAAAGAGAGGGAGTGTGAGTGTGTTTGTGAGTTTATGTGTGTGTGTGTGCATGAGCATGTGTGTGTGTGCCCCCCTCCAGCAAATAGCTCCCATGGTAATGAACCGCAGGGATCCTACTCACACAGAGTGTTGCATCTTGCAGCCTTTATGATCATCATTATTTTAGAGTTGACAGCCCCCCCCCCCCAACCCCCCTTTACCGGATCCAATTAAAAACTAAGAAATCCTACATGTACAATTGCAGTTTTGGGGTTTATTTTTCCTATGGCACAATCCAATTATGAATTTAACAATCCTGCCTGTGAAGTCACTGTTTTTTTTCTTCTGTGTTTCACAGCCCAATTATGAGGTCTACCACAAATGTTTCCAGATCTCTGAGTTGAGCCCTCTGGAGTGCACTTTTAAACCATGCTCTTGACATGCAACCTCAAGCCAAACATACAGCATCCTCTCCTAAAGAAGTACTGTGTATAACACACCCAAAAGTATACCGAACATACCACTAGAGCAAGATTCTCGCTTGTTGCCTCATGGGCGACAGTTGACTTCAGATCTCTGTATGAAGCTATGCTAACGTGAGAGGCAACCATAGAAATACAATAACTTACTAGACACTACACTTCTATTTCTATGGAAGCAACTATGCTACAGTACACCTAGATACAGTAAGTGTAAATGCAGAAGTGTAGTCCCTTCTGCCTACTATTGCTTGTATGTACTATGAGCTCATAAGGTCCTTGCTTAATTTGATTTACATCACAGTGCTTATCATTTCAATTAAGGATAGCCTACTAACAATAATAAAGTGATGGTGGCCAATGAATATAAACATGAAGCAATGAATTGATTCCATGAATAATGGAGGACTAACTTCTGTTTAGTTATGCAAAGAAAAAAAGCACACAGACATTCAAATACCAAATATATAAGCACAAGTATAGTGTATACATGCACACCCTTACACACGCACGCATGCACACACATTTTCCCACACATAAAAAGTTCAGAGCCTTGCAATGCCTTGCAGGAGTAGAAATGATCATTCACTTGCTCAGCGGGTAATCAGCCATCTGTCTACATTGTGTACTGCATAGACAAGCAGAAGAGCTACAGTCAGTCAGATACAGAGGCATCAACACATGGAACAACGCCACCATTGATTAGTCTAAACAATCGGTTTCTATCAATTCTGCATACAGTTGTGTTTAAAAGTTTTTGATCCTTCAGTGGGGATGGAGTTTTAATTCTTACTGTGGCATCTGTAGTGTCGTGAACAAAACACAAATTCATACCACTGTCACAGTAGTGTTCTCATTACTGGGAATTTCAGTAATATCTACATTTGAAATAGATTGAAAATAAATAACAATGAAATGTTATTATGCAATGGAGCTTGCATATTGCATTAAAGCTTCCATCGTTTCAGAGAGGGCCAGACTTACCAGGTTTGCCAATATGTAGTGGTAATTTTTGAGGTTTTTCTTCTGAGCAGCGATCTGGAAAGCATAATAGAAGGGGAAATGATTTGAATCAAGCATTTTGCATCCCGTCTAATGAAGATGAAGCTATTTCAATACAGATGTGGATTGAAGCGTCCCATTAATTGTGGTCCTCCCAAAATAGGAGCTAATTGGTCCCATCTTTGAGGAATTAATTGCTCATCTCCCATCTCTGCCTGCATGTCTGAGTAAAATATCAGGGCACAGCAGAAAGGGGGCAGCTGGAACAACTCACCGTGGAGGGCTGGGAATGATTTGTCATATGTCACTGTGGGAAGCCCAATTAGAGCTTTAATGACTACATGTGCAAATCACTAGTACACCTGTGATGGACAGGCCCGGGACAGCCTCTGGCTGGGGGACACAAAATGAAGCAGCCGTCAGGGTTAATTGAGCCTGACCACTGATTTCCAAATGCTCATCTGAAACCTACGTGTTTGTGAACACACTCATTAAACTAGCTCTCTGCTATTCAGACACCATGGCTGTGTTTACACAGGCAGCCAATCTCAGATTTTCCAATAATTGGCAAAAGATCAGAATTGGGTGACCTGTTGGCACAGTGGACACAGAGGAGCATGTATGAGTACAGGGCCTGTTCTGCTCAATATCTTCATGTTGATGTCAGAATATTCTAACATCCGCATACAGCTTCTGTCCAATGAAAAAGACAGTACTAAAGAGATCTTACATATTCAAAATAGCTCAAAGGAACTGTTCTCTCCCCCAAACAAGATACACTACATTTATAAAAAGGTTTTCTTTGATGGCTTTGAAAGATGAAATAAAAATTAGATACATATTTTTAAATAGTTTTAGTCCAGCTATACTCTCTGTGGTGATGACATTTCCAGTGCAGTAAATAACTGGTACCAGGGAACAATGTTGTTCCTAGAGAACTGACTGATGGTATGATCTTTCAGCAGCAGCATAGAATCTAAGAATGTATCTTTCTCTTCATTACAGACCTCTCTCCACTGTTCCCTGTCCCCTGTCCACAGAGACTGGCAAAGTATTGCACAGAGACACTAACAACACTACACAATGTGTTCAAACTGAACCCTTTTAACCCCTTACACTCAGCGGAATTGGCCTATATGGATAGGGCTAAATTGAAATGTTTCTTACAGAATAAATATGGAAAGCATATGCATAACCATGGTAACAATTTTAAAATGGAACAGTTTGGAGATTATGGGAAAATTATTAGACTAAAGGTGAGGACACAACAGTTCACCTGACACAAGATGGAATACAAACATTACGCTTTTGATTTTATGTGAATTGTATATTTACTGTAGTTTCTGCTGCATTTGTTGATAACTAAATCTGAAAATACTCGGGATACATTCAGTAACATGATAAGAATATTCTTGGAAAATTTGGGGTAGGAACTGTCCAAAGTGTGCACAGTTCCTAAGTAATTTCAATGCAGTTCTATGACTCAAAGAAGAGTCTTCAACTATAAGGTGCTTTTTGAGGTCTCCTAGCTGTGTCGTTTAGGAACTAGAGCAAGCACACCTGTAGTTTAGTTTGGAACACAACCCTGCATCCCCGCCTTTACACAATTACTGTTGTTTACGCAATCTAAAAACGGTCCATTATAAATCGCAGTCTGGGTCAGGGGGGGCATAATTTGAAGCGTGTTCTATTGCCAACATGACTAGTTAAATTATAAAATATTATCTTACAGTGTTGGGCTTTCACAAGGCAATTCAGAGAAGCAGATTGTCATTATGGTACATATAGAATGGAGTCAATAATGCATTAAGATGCGTGGTCCACAGCACATTTTCTTCACAATACAACAAACATAGGCTCATTCTGTTCAGGACAACCCAGGGTATAACATCATGGCATCTTGTAACTGTAACTGTACATTTACATTGTATATTACATGAGTTTTATGATATGGAAATGTGAAGTGCACATTTGGACATTTGACATTAAAGCAGAATTTATTATAATACTCAACGTCTCATCTTTCAAAATACATCGAGTCCTCGTACTTTACAGCATTTCCCTTACTCAGACAACAACATTTTTGCCCAAAAGTGTAAAGGGCTACCTGAACCCTTGTCAATAGTTTGAGTTGGAAAACTTAAGTAAGAGGAGAAAATGTTATTTTGTCACTAGCTGAGTGGTCCTCTTGTTGGAATGAACCCATCCCATCCAATCATTGAAGTAATGTGTCTAGTTTACAGACGATCGCTTCATTCATTAACCTCTTGATAGTCATCTATCTCCCTTTTCATTACTGGACAGTCTGTCAATCCAATGTTATTTACCAGGTTGAGGATCATGTTGAGTCTCTCCAGCTCACAGTCCAGGATGATGTTGTATTCCTTCTTCTTCTCTAGGTCCTGAACCACCTTCAGGAAGGCCGCCTGATCCATACCGCTGTCCAGGTTCACTGATGTCACCTGCCATGTCTTTTCTGCTGCCGTGTCCAGAATCTTCTGCAGCACTGTCAGGCCTAAATGACAAGACAAACACCAAAAGGTAAAGACTAATTAGTCTGGGCATATTTGATTATGTAAACCACACTTAGGTCTATATCTGTACTTGTCTTTTCATCCTTTGTAGTCACTTAAATGCCATTTACGCCTGCTTACTTGACTTCACCTAATGTATGGTCGAGAGGTGCATTGAAAAGGTTTGGCATGGGCCCTCAAATCCTAAAAAATATATACAGTTGTACCATTGAGAGCATCTTAGCTGGCTGTATCACTGCTTGGTAAGGCAATAGAACCGCCCTCAATTGCATGGCCCTACAGAAGGTGGTGCGGACAGCCTAGTACGTCACTGGCGCCGAGCTCCCTGCACACCAGAACCTCTACAGTGGTTTGCGAAAGTATTCAACCCCCTTAGCATTTTTTCTATTTTGTTGCCTTACAACCTGGAATTAAAATTGATTTTTTGGGGGGGTTTGTATCATTTGATTTACACAACATGCCTACCACTTTGAAGATGGAACATATTTTTTCTTGTGAAACAAACAAGAAATAAGACAAAAAAACAGAACGTGAGTGTGCATAACTATTCACCCCCCACCAAGTCAATACTTTGTAGAGCCAAATTTTGCAGCAATTACAGATGCAAGTCTCTTGGGGTATGTCTCTATAAGCTTGGCACATCTAGCCACTGGGATTTTTGCCCATTCTTCAAGGCAAAACTGCTCCAGCTCCTTCAAGTTGGATGGGTTCCACTTGTGTACAGCAATCTTTAAGTCATACCACAGATTCTCAATTGGATTGAGGTCTGGGCTTTGACTAGGCCATTCCAAGACATTTAAATGTTTCCCCTTAAACCACTCAAGTGTTGCTTTAGCAGTATGCTTAGGGTCATTGTCCTGCTGGAAGGTGAACCTCCGTCCCAGTCTCAAATCTCTGGAAGACTGAAACAGGTTTCCCTCAAGAATTTCCCTGTATTTAGCGCCATCCATTATTCCTTTAATGCTGACCAGTTTCCCAGTCCCTGCCGATGAAAAACATCCCCACAGCATGATGCTGCCACCACCATGCTTCACAGTGGGGATGTTGTTCTAGGGGTGATGAGAGGTGTTGGGTTTGCGCCAGACATAGCATTTTCCTTGATGGCAAAAATGCTCAATTTTAGTCTCATCTGACCAGAGTACCTTCTTCCATATGTTTGGGGAGTCTCCCATATGTCTTTTGGCGAACACCAAACGTGTTTGCTTATTTTTTTCTTTAAGCAATGGCTTTTTCTGGCCACTCTTCCGTAAAGCCCAGCTCTGTGGAGTGGTCCTATGGACAGATACTCCAATCTCCACTATGGAGCTTTGCAGCTCCTTCAAGGTTACCTTTGGTCTCTTTGTTGCCTCTCTGATTAATGCCCTCCTTGCCTGGTCCGTGAGTTTTGGTGGGTGGCCCTCTCATGGCAGGTTGTGGTGCCATATTATTTCAATTTTTGAATAAATGATTTAATGGTGTTCCGTGGGATGTTCAAAGTTTCGGAGTTTTTTTAATAAACCAACCCTGATCTGTACTTCTCCAGAACATTGTCCCTGACCTGTTTGGAGAGCTAATTTTTTCTTCATGGTGCCGCTTGCTTGGTGGTTCCCCTTGCTTAGTGGTGTTGCAGACTCTGGGGCATTTCAGAACAGTTGTATATATACTGAGATCATGTGACACTTAGATTGCACACAGGTGGACTTTATTATTACTTTATTATTATGTGACTTCTGAAGGTAATTGGTGTCACCAGATGTTATTTAGGGGCTTCATAGCAAAGGTGGTGAATACATATGCACGAAGCACTTTTCCGTTATTTATTTTATAGAATTTTTTGAAGCAAGTAATTTTTTTCATTTCATGAAATCAAAATCAAAATCAATTTAAATTACAGGTTGTAATGCAACAAAATAGGAAAAATGGCAAGGGGGATGAATACTTTTGCAAGGCACTGTATATCAGACTGTGTGAAAGGAAGGCCCGGAAAATTATTAAAGACTTCAACCACCCAAGCCATAGACTTTTCTCTCTGCTTCTGCACGGCAAGAGGTACCAGTGCATCACGTCTGACACCAACAGGCTCCTGAACAGCTTCTATCCCCATACCATATTCTGCTAAATAGCTAACAAAATGGCTACATGGACTATCTGAGTTGACCTTTGTATTTTATTATAATTTTTATACACTCACAGGGCCCTACACACTACTCACACAGATACTCCAACACACATTCAAACACTCACTCCATCATTTGCTCACACATAATATGCACATACATTTATACTGACTCTACACACACCCACTCACATACAATCATCATATACACTGCTGCTCTGTTGATCATATATCCTGATGTCTAGTCAGTTTACCCATATCTATATATATATATATATATATATATATATATATATATATAAGAGCCTGAATAATTTTTTTAATAACAATGTGCAAATATTGTAAAATCCAGGTGTGCAAAGCTCTTAAAGACTTACCCAGAAAGACTCACGGCTGTAATCACTACCAAAGGTGATTCTAATATTGTCACGATCGTCATAATGATTGGACCAAGGCGCAGCGTGATATGACTACATCTTTTAATAGTGTACTGGCAACACGATACAAAATACAAAACAACCAAACGAAACGTGAAGTCCTCGGTTAACAACACAAACCAACACGGAACAAGATCCCACAAAACACAAGTGCACAACAGGCTGCCTAAGTATGGTTCCCAATCAGAGACAACAAGCAACAGCTGATTCTCGTTGCTTCTGATTGAGAACCACCCCGGCCAACCTAGAAAACACATGAACTAGAAACTGAACATAGAACACAAAACATAGACCCTACACACCCTGGCTCAACATATAAGAGTCCCCAGAGCCAGGGCGTGACAGTACCCCCCCCCCCCCCAAAGGCGCGGACTGCGACCGCGCCAACATAAACCCAACAGGGGGGGGGGGGGGGGTGGGCATTCCGCCTCGGAGGCGGATCCGGCTCCGGGCGTGACCACCACCCTCTAACAACCCCCCCGTAGCGCCCCTGGTCTGGTCCCGCTGGCTGGAGCTGGACTGGACATCGGTGGAGCGGATTGCTTAGGCTCCGGTGTGGAGCAGCTGACCGGTACCTGACCAGGCACCGGTGAAACAGGCACGGGCTGTGCCGGACTGATGACGCGCACCACAGGCTTGGTGCGGGGAGCAGGAACAGGCCGGACCGGGCTGGCGACGCGCACCACAGGCTTGGTGCGGGGAGCAGGAATGGGCCGGACCGGGCTGACGAAGCGCACCACTGGCTTGGTGCGGGGAGCAGGAACAGGCCGGGCCGGGCTGACGACGCGCACCATTGGCTTGGTGCGGTGAGCAGGAATGTGCCGGACCGGGCTGACAAAGCGCACCACTGGCTTGGTGCGGGGAGCAGGAACAGGCCGTGCCGGGCTGACGACGCGCACCCTTGGCTTGGTGCGGGGAGCAGGAACGGGCCGGACCGGGTTGACGAAGCGCACCACTGGCTTGGTGCGGGGAGCAGGAACAGGCCGGGCCGGGCTGACGACGCGCACCATAGGCTTGGTGCGGGGAGCAGGAACGGGCCAGACCGGGCTGACGAAGCGCACCACTGGCTTGGTGCGGGGAGCAGGAACAGGCCGGGCCGGGCTGGCGACGTGCACCATTGGCTTGGTGCGGGGAGCAGGAACGGGCCGGGCCGGGCTGACGACGCGCACCATTGGCTTGGTGCGGGGAGCAGGAATGGGCCGGACCGGGCTGACGAAGCGTACCACTGGCTTGGTGCGGGGAGCAGGAACAGGCCGGGCCGGGCTGACGACGCGCACCATAGGCTTGGTGCGGGGAGCAGGAACAGGCCGGGCCGGGCTGGCGACGCGCACCATTGGCTTGGTGCGGGGAGCAGGAACGGGCCGGGCCGGGCTGACGACGCGCACCATTGGCTTGGTGCGGGGAGCAGGAATGGGCCGGACCGGGCTGTCGAAGCGCACCACTGGCTTGGTGCGGGGAGCAGGAACAGGCCGGGCCGGGCTGACGACGCGCACCATAGGCTTGGTGCGGGGAGCAGGAACAGGCCGGGCCGGGCTGGCGACGCGCACCATAGGCTTAGTGCGGGGAACAGGAACAGGCTGGACCGGGCTGGCGACGCGCACCATTGGCTTGGTGCGAGGGGCAGGAACAGGCCGGGCCGGGCTGGCGACGCGCATCACAGGCTTGGTGCGAGGGACAGGAACAGGCCGGACCGTACTGGGAACACACACCACTGGCCTTGTGTGGGGATCAGGAACAGGCCGGACCGGACTGGTAACACACCTCAGTACCTCTCGCCGTGCCTCTACACTTTCCTTCCCTCTAATGACCAATGGCCCCCGTAACCTGGTGGCCTTCTCTCCTCGTCCACAAACTCGCCCTTTATCTGCCTCCAGCAGCCCAGTCGTCCATGCCATGTGCCCACCCCAAAACAAATTATTGGGGGTGCCTCTCGCCTGTCCGACGACGGCCCGGTTGGCGCCGCTTCTCCTCTCCTGCCTGGGTCTCCCCCTTCATCGCCCTCCGGTAACGGATGGCCTCCTACTCCGTGATCTGCCCCCAACCGAGGAGGACATCCACTAACGTTACCTCCGGCGTTTGCTCCTGGACACCCTGCTTGGTCCTGTATGGGTGGGATCTTCTGTCACAATCGTTATAATGATTGGACAAGGCGCAGCGGGATATGCGTACATCTTTTTAATAGTGTACTGGCAACACGATACAAAATACAAAACAACCAAACGAAACGTGAAGTCCTCGGTTAACAACACAAACCAACACGGAACAAGATCCCACAAAACACAAGTGCACAACAGGCTGCCTAAGTATGGTTCCCAATCAGAGACAACAAGCAACAGCTGATTCTCGTTGCCTCTGATTGAGAACCACCCCGGCCAACCTAGAAAACACATGAACTAGAAACTGAACATAGAACACAAAACATAGACCCTACACACCCTGGCTCAACA